TAGGATGAACGTGAGTTTCAATTTTGTCGGCGGTTTTGGTGGTGTTAAAATATTTGATAAACTAAAACTGTATGCAAACAACGCATAAAACAAGCGATTAATTCCAACGAAAATGTAATGGTCGTGGATTGGACTGGCGAAACCAATCGAATTTACTTTTATTGGTTTTAAAACACCAATAAACCGAAGGAAAACGTTGGCAAAACACGCAACACTTTTGGACGTGAGTTTGCCCATGTCCTTCGGTTGTTACACGCCTCGCGACTAAGCGGACTGTGTCTTGTATCTTTCCGCTGAACATTTACGGGCGTACGTTTACAACGCGGCGTGCCCGCTACCGCCGCCGCCGCCGCCGCCGCCGCCACGGAAGGTTCTTGTTGTGTCCTTGTCGCGGTGCAGAAAAATGTGTGCGGGTTGAACGAGTCTCGCCGGACGAGTTCTCGAACTGGCCGATACACTGGACGCTCGCACGCACGCACTAAATAGGTTTGACACAAAGTAGGCCAATTTATGAGCAACTTTTTTCTTCTTTCTTCTTCTGCTTGTGCTCCCCATGCGGCGCACGCGTTTTTCTATGGACTTCCCAGCTCAGACTTGCTCGGACAGCCTGCGTCGAAAAGTTGGACGGCGTATACGCATTTAAACGAACAACAAGTGACAAATTTTAGGAGGCTATTTAATGGAATTGTATTCGAGCACGCGCATAAAGCGAAAACGAAAACTTTTTGTGGTGGCTTCTTTTCTTTATTGCCCAGCAAGAAAAACTCTCGCTGAATAAAATACATTGTGACAACAGACAATAAAATTGCGTCTAACAGCTCTCACATACAAATACAATTTTTGTTTTGTTTACACAAATTCAGCAGAATCATTTTATATTTATTTGATAATATATTCTAAACTAAATAGTGCCTAAATAGTCAGCATGTGTATAATTGAAATAATGTTTGATGTTTGGACGTGAATTTATTCCACGCCTCATATATGCGTTGATTATTTTGCGTAATTAGCGAATTCTGCATTTAGCTAGCGCTGACTTTGAAACGTGCGCATTCCCGTAGCGTTTACGTGCGCGCTGACGAAACTTTATTCAAAATTACAATCTACTTGTCTCATAAATTTCGAATAAACATCTAATGCTACTTGAAGCGCCTCTTCGTTTCGCATCGAGTGGAAGTTGGCGGTGCGCGCACCGCTCGCTTAGTTTCCGGAAAGATAATTTCTTCTCTTCATGGCGCACGGTGCGCGATGCCTCGCGTTCATCTTTCGGCGGAGTCCTTCGCGGAAAGTGAGACGTCGCTACTGCAAACAAATTAACTTCACGCAACACCAACAAATCCGACGGCGCTACAGAAATGCTACTAGGGCTACGAGTTTCGTTTATTTGTTTTTGCAATCTACACATTGCCTCGCGGCTTCTAGTTTGATAATTATTCAATTTTTGGCATAATGCTTTGGTGAAACGAAATGTTTGAAACGTACAATTAGTTTTGAGACAAAACAACACAAAATTAAATTAAATGTTGCGCAATTTTACAAATCGATATTATGCTGTTGTGTGTATTTAATGAGTGGTTAATAATTAACATTTGGAAAGGGTGCGAATGCTACAATGGTGAAAGTAAGAGGAAAAACGTGATGACTTTGGTCGGCGCGGTGGCGGCAGTGCTGGAAAGCGCTTATCGGATAGATTTATAGAGGAAAGGCGGGCGATCGGAGTGTCGCCTCTGCCCCATTAACCCATGTTTAGCGGCAATGACCCATGGTGCTTTAATGGCTCTTCACACGTGCATTGCTACCCCATTCAGCGATGCGAGCACACGTGTGACGCGACCGCCACTTATTCGTTCAGGCACATCACCCAAAATGACTATCTTTTGTCAAGTTTAATTCTAAACTGGTTACGGTGTGGTAAATTTTTGACTGAAAAAAACACTTTTATGCCTATATTTGCGTTTTCTGCACGAAAAATTTGAATCGAATTTGCATAAACAGAAATGTTGATTCGAGCGGTCGTGTGCTCATGCATACCCGCACGGGTATGTATACATTATGCGACGGAGGCAGCATTGTATCGATGTTGCTGATATAGTAATTCGGATCAAAAGAAAGAGCGCAATAGAAAAATATCTTGCTTGCCGAAAAATCCGATATGCCGTTTGCTCGACGAAGCTCGAAATCCGATCGCTATAAAATAGATCCATTCAGATTCGCGATGATATTCCAGCTTGGATTTCCGGGATTTCGGATTCGTACAATGCGACTTTAAAAGATTTCGGAAAAAGGAACCCGCTCGCAAAAGGCGGCCCAGTTCCATGCATAGATGGACATGATGCAACAAGAAAAGATGTCGCATACACACAACAAACAACCTCGATTGCAATCACAAACAAACAAAAAATAAATAAGCACACCGCACACGTCAGGAAAACAACAGCACTCGGGCTCAGGTATTGATTTCCAACGACAAAAAATCACAACTCATCGAGTGTGTCAGATGAAAGACTAAAATTGGAAAATCGACAGCGCTGAAAACTCGATCGAAGCTTATTATTATTGCCTCCATCGTTGCTTCTGGTTAAAAACTTTATATTATTCCAGGAAAAGTTTTAAGTCCCGCCGCTATTATCATTTTCCCATTTAGATCCTGCAGACAGTTCTGCATCGTGCGGTCTATATCTAATAGTTGACGATGTATTATAAGCGGGGAAATTTATTAGCGACGAGGAAAGTCTACGCCGGCGGGAGTGCAATTCAAGAATCGCAATATTGAATCGGGGCGAGCGCATAAATTCGTACAAATGCGAATCGAACTAGTGCGTCACGCGGAGGACCTTTACTTTATAACATATACATGCATTTTACGTCAGAAGATGACAAAAAAGGGCTGAGAACGGAGAATTTCCTGCTCATATACCGTTGTTCGTTTTATGTACGTTATCCAATCCGGCTGGGATGGAAGGCTTCGACTTATCTCCTACTTTTCCCAGTCGCAAAATTACATGCATATCAAATTGTAAAAACAGAACGCATTTTATATATATTGCGCGCTCCGGGTAGAAAAATCAATTCCAAATGCTTCCAACAATTCATACATTGTCGAAATATGAAATATACGTGAATATTTCTTATGCGTCGCTGCATTACGAGATGATTTAGTACTAGGAGATTTTCATATTTAATGTCATAAGTTGTTTATCTGCAATCCGACTTGATTTTCCCCGATGTCAATGTTTCATGCCACATAAACTAAAATTTCAGCAAATTTCCACCCTTGCACAGACTGTTAATCACAAATGTTCGTGCGTTGATATATACCGTGATACCGCACATCGGACGTTGGACGTTGTCGATGATCACTGATTAAAGTCTTCTTTACTGTGCTATTCATCAGAAGCTAATAATAACTCCGCACCATGTCGGATGTCCGCGAGCTGTACAATACGAACGCCACTGGCGTGTCGGCACATATGCCCGTGACATCCAATTACGATTTTTCCCTTCAATAGCACCCACACAGCGACACGTAAACAAAAACCACAAACGCTGACATTTCCCAGTAGACCAGCATTTCCCTTTTATCGTATGTTACATTTATTTCTGTTTTACTATAGTTATTTAGTTACAAACGCAATTTTAGTTATTTATGCAATTTCACACGCACACAAGTATTTTTCAATGTTTGATTCTTTTGGTAGCGTGCGATATCAAAGAGCAAACAATATGATGATTAATTAATCGCGCTCGACGCCGGCGGACATTCAAGTGTTGCGTGTAATTGTTCGAAGAGCGAGTATTCCCGTGAACCGTGCAATTTGCTCTGCGCCAGAAGCGACGCACGGAACACAAGCGAAATTGTTTCCAACCCTGCGTCCTACGTTTACAACGAGTGTAATATGTGTGTTTGTGGGGGTGCGTTTGCGTTTTCTAATTTCAACACGCGTGTTTATTCAAAAGATGTGTTTTATATTCTAACCACCACACAAGCAACTTGAACATTAGCTATAATATGTTTATTTCCATGATGATTAATTTAAATTTTGACGTTGACATGTCGCGTCCTTTTTTTGTATGCACTAAGTCGAGTTAAGTCGGCTTGCGGTTATCAATAGATGAAAAGTTGTTGCGAATGATTAACTTGTAAAATATGCAAATAACTTGTGCATACATTACGCACCGACGCGAGTCGCAGCAAAAAATATTCATCCATTAATCCTCCGGCGCAAAACTTGCCCAGAAACTTACACATCACACACTCTCTCACTCCCAAAGCTTTTGTGCCCGGCGCCGCCACCATCAGGGCCAGCCATTGGGCGACTTGTGAAACTTCACTAATAAATGTCTAGACGCGCATGCACGAAAACCAGTCGCGCACAATGCAAAATTTAAATTCAATTGTAACGTCTATCAAACGGTTCCGAGCAACGAGCGCAAAACTCGGTCGAAACTCGTAAGCGGAATATTCAAATATGCATTGGGATAAAAGGGCGCTCGGCGTGTCCGCACGGACGGACGGGCGGTAACAACACAACAAACGCGCCGGCCGAAATTCGCCACCGCCGCCGCCGCGCCTACATCTTTAAAGCGTAATTAGAGCACGCTAAACTGAACATCCAATTACAAACCGAGCGTTGGCTATTTCGGTTAGACCGCAGACCAGATACAGCCGCTCGCTGCGTCTAAGATTATCGATTTGCCGTAAACTATTCGTGCATGCATTTCGTTAATGTTGTATCGTTACGTCGCCACACATTTGGCGGCGTGCGGACATTTGGAGCCTTGCTTGAATACCCCAAAAGCAAACTATGTGCTTATCATTCGCATAAACGATGTGTTTGTAATGCGCACATAAATTAATTTATTATAAGTCACTAACAGCCCAAGCATTAACATATTTACATATTGAATTACTAAAATTAGCTTTATATTAGGCAAATTTTATTTGAGGTGAAGATGCAATATAAAAAACGGAGAATAATGAGGGACTAATGCTTTTATTTTCATTGGCCATTAGGACACAAGCACCAATGCGGAGAGATCCCGAGACTTGAACACGATCGGCCTGCGGGAATTTTTTTCAGTAGACTATATCCATTGGCAGCGCTTCTTCGGTTATCCTTTATTAAGTCTCTCAACGTGCTATGGATATCGGCGTAAGTGACCATTTTCTTCGAATTCCATTCCAGCGCCGTCGACGCATCTGGGTATTCAATTTTATATGATATCGGCAAGAGGAAATAGAAGAGCGGAGGCGATTTTACATAATTTCCGGCCGTGCGCGCCGCCGCCTCTTTTGCATTCCCACCTTCAACACGCTCAGCAACGACATTATCGCCGACGAACATCAACGCAGTATCCCTGTTAAGATGCGATGATATCGTCTGAAAGAAATTCAAAAAACGCCGATCGGCGCGCCGCAAATTACCGCGATCGTATCGGAACGCGTCGATGTAGAACACGCCGAACAACGGTCGCGGATTATTATCGTTCCGCAGGTTCACGTATTGCCCGGCGTAGTCCAGAAGCCGCGCGTACGTAGGCCGAGCACCCAGGCAGCCGGGCCGCTCCCGGCCTGCATCCTGATTGCCGATATGCGAACGCCCGATGGCGTAAAAACTTTCCCAATTAAAATCGAATGGATAGAATCGATCCAGCAGGACGTCGGATGGCGTTAATTTCGACTCGTCGTTGCTACAGTCGTCGCCGTACGCCGTCGTATAACCACTACGAGCAAAATCCAGCCAAATCTCTCTTGCGTCCTCTTCGAATGCATCTCGAATTAGATTCTGTAAGTTTTTATGCGTTCTGACGTGTCCTTGCAAGTAGTGAAACTCTTGAGCCTTCAAAATCTGCTCTAGATACTGTACAGTTTTTGGCATTGCTTGGTGAAAAACATGCCGAGATGTATGACCTAAAATTAGGACAATAACACTCGGGGCACCAACGTCTCCTTGGCGTGCATTCTGTCGATATTGGTGATTGTTCAAGAAAAAGTAGAAATCTTCGTATACAATCACGCTTTTCATGCTGCATTGAACATAGGCGAACTCAGTGCTGACTTGCAATGCTGAATGAAACTCTGTACAAGTTTCGTTCTTCTGGAGAAATCCTGAATGGGAATCGACGAAGTCTAAGGATCCGTAACAACAATTGTAGGTCTTCATGTCAGGATAATCTAGTTTCTTCTGAATCAGCATGTTTTCATCAACGGTCATCAAGGAAGGAAATCCGTAATTACATAAAATATCTTTATCTCTTATGAAAATTGTGAAATTTTCTATTGTTTTGCAAATAATCTCATTGTTTTGAAATTTTACGTAAAACAATATTGCTAATATTACTATGCATAGAATTAAATTGCGAAATTTAATGTTTCGCATATTTTGCAGTTGCTTTTAGGTTATTTTGAAGTCACTGTCAGAGTTTGCGAAACACAGCGTCCGCCCTGCGGATGTATGTCAAGTAAACAAAAAGCTTGAAACATTTCCATAGTGATATCTTCGCATTGTTCGCACGTATTTAAAATTCACGCTTCCCCCGAGTGTGCTTTTGCAAGTTATTTCCGAAACGCACGCGTTCCGCTCGCACAAGACGCGACTGCGGGGCGTATCAGTTCAATGTGTAAATTGTGTGAGTTTTTCCATCTATTCCACTGCCGCCCCACCGTGACTTGGCCGTGTTATAAAGGTTCGGCGGCAATTTAAATTTTGCGCGTTGATTGCGATCGTAAGAAGCATGCAAATATCCATGTGACAGAAACAGGAGGCATATAAAGGCGTTCTAATTAGAATAGCTGGCTAATTAGTACGCATGTCATTAAGGATTCTCTTTATACTACGTACGACCGTCGAGCGACTTTATCGCCACCAAAGGCGTTGTACGCACGTACCCGTGCACCCGCCAAGGGATATCACACGCGCGCGTTTGTTGTGTATTTAAATACAAACGACGCGTCGCCATTTGCCCGCCATCCAAGGCACGATCTTTCCGCGGCGATTATCATTTCGCAGGACTTTTATAATAATTACAAACTTTTGTATTCAAATTTTTGGAGGGTTCCAACACAACTTTTCGCAGAGTGAAAACATTTCAAAAACAATTTAAGTTTTGGTGTTGTCGAAATGTAAAATTTATCATTTATCAAATATAAGTTGTATTTCCACCGCAAAAACTTTAATTAGAAAATTGATTGATTAAATTTAAGCGCTGGGGCTTTGTGCATTCGATGGCAAGCAAACAAGAAAAAAACGCATCGCAAAATTCCGTAATTACTTGCGAAGAACTTGGTTGTAGCACTTAAAGGCAACATCGGTTTTGCGGGCTCACGGTTCGAGCGTCTAACCTTTAAACGATCAATTACCATTTAGTTTCCCAAGCGTTTGATGGGCGGCCGGCGCAAGGCGACGTTACGGTTATAAGATCCTCGTAACTCGATTAAACTGAAGAAGTCCACTGAAGCTTGTTATGTCTTATTAAAGCGACGCAGGTCATTAGAAAGCGCCTACTACTATTGCTCAAATTTTATCTACGTGCTTATTAAACAAATCCTGCCTCGTCCTTCGGCAGGTACGCCCGGCCGGATCAGATTTCATGCAGAAAGTTTTCAAGTAGCTACCTAACTATAACTATCATCTTGTTATAGATAACTACTTGAGATAAAAAGCGAAGAAAATTGAGTGCTCAGATTATTTTCGTTATCAAGATAAGTTGATGGTAAACCCTTTTCCTGTGATGAGCAATCAAACGAAAGTTTTGTTTGTGATTATTTTTCGATGTGTTTGAGTTGTCAGAAACTTTAGTCGCTCCGGAGGTATGAAATTTAAGAAGCCGTTAATTAAAATGTTTTTGTTTGTGTACGCGCGTCTGTTCTCGATTCGCTTAGCGTCTACATTAGGACATTAAATATTTAAGATCGAATGCGCGTTATTATCATGCATAATGGAGCGTCTGTGTTTTGCGGAAACTCTACTGCGTGCCATTATGCCTCCGCTGCCGTCGACTTGGTCGGTCCCTATCCGCACGACGGCTCGCCGCCTCCGATGGCGTTCGTCTTTCAGACGTGTTTAACGAGAGGTTTACGTTACGCGCCGCACAAATGAATATATCACACTAATTCCGCATTAAAGTTACAACTTAACAAGTCTTGAAACATATCGTCGGCATTTACGAAAATTAGGATAACGGTTAGAAAAATGTCTATAATTGATAACTATTATTGAAATTGACAAGGAAAACAACATTGAATTGATTGTCAAAATATATATTGTACATTCCTTGCGTATCATATTAGGAAGTTCAGTAACATGGCACGAGTACGATGCTCCATCATCGGTCCTTGATATTCAAATCCTTACTCCATCATATAAGTCTCATATCCTTGTCGAGTTCATTGTATGCCATCTTTGCTTGCCGAACGTTGTTTGCTCCGTCTGCTCGCCGTTTCGCACGTATCATATCATGTAATTTCGCTTTAATTACGAAAATTTATTCGCGACACAATGACTCGCAACTTACTTGAAATTTGATCGTGTCTAACGTCGTTTTGCTTGTTATTTCAAACGTACATTACACACAACGCGCGATGATATATTACGAGTTTATAAATGATTATCACATGTAGCATACATACACTATACACACAATTTATAAACTCGTTTGAAATTTCTACACAGTAAAAACATGAAATTTGTTTAATTAGGCCAGATTAAGATTCACATCATTAAATTTTTAATGCATCTATATTTAGTTTCGATTTCACTAATCGCTACTATTTTAATTGGAGTACAAACGGAAACTGTGGTTAGCTAAATGATCATGGTGGGCGTTTTAATTTATCATCGCTGTCGATTCAGCTCAGAAAACAGATGTTTACTAATCGAAGCAAAACTATGCCAAGAATCATGTTATGCATGTCATAACAGTTAAACAGTTAGAGCAATAGCATTAATTTTATATCTGTTTAAAATTACACTAAACCTCTTGATATTCATTGATTGCATTAATATAATGGACTAGGAAGTGAAAATATCAATATTTTCTACGATTGATTACATTTTCCACATTAATTAAAACGTGTAGTTATATATTAAATTTGTAACTAGATTATGCGAAATATTGAAACATGGCAGGATATTTAATAAATTAAATATTTACTGTTTTTATTTGGTATTTTCTCTATTTAGAGATGAAAATAGTGAAAAAATAGTGCTTAAATAACGGATAGGATTGTTTGTTTGTTTGTTTATCAGAACGATAATTTGCGTACTTGCATTAATCTCAAGCTCTATTATTGTGCCCCAGAACGACGCTTTCCTCGAGAGCAAAGTAGGTACACACGATCGTATATTCGAATTCGTACATTCCTAACGCGCGCGCGAACGAATCACAAAGCCCAAACACAAACGGACTGTTTGGGATGCTTTTAGAGTAATTAAAACGTAGAAAACCCTTTTCCGACCTTCTAATAGAGACGCTCGGTCGCAAGCAGCGCGCGTGGAAAACGACTCTAGCGAATGGCTCGTCTAGTGGGTGATAGTGTGATACCATCTAAATGTGTGCCGAGTCCAGGAAGCGTCACATTGTACGTGGATATATTCGAGAGCTGCTTCCTATTCCTATCAATAAAACCGTTTGGATGCGATATGGCAACTACCGTGAGCTGCGCACACAATGGAAATTGACAATTCGTGTTTTTTTATTCGCCTGCGTATTCCTACATAAAGCATGTTTATCTACAAGGTGTTTGTTTTGTCTTGTGATAACCCACTACTTGTTTAGTGTGAAAGTGTTGGAGAAAATTTGTTTGCCAGAAGTATTTATGATCCCAACTGTGGATGTATGTATTCTATTACCGCATAGGCACTCGGAAATTGTGCATTTTACCCAACGAAGGGACGCCGGAATTTTTAAGTTCGGGACAAATGTGTGCGAAGAAAGAAAATTCGCTCGACGAGATTGGTGAACCTTTGATGGGTAAATGGGAAAATTGTAGAAGGGAAAATTGAAATGAAAGAAAAAAGGGTATACGAATTGGTACAGAATACGTGCAACAAATTCAATAATAAAACACCCCCCGAAAAAAAGGGCAAGAAAGAAAAATGTGCCCTCAATTTCAGCCTTTCAAGTTTATTATTTAATTTATTTGAAAATGAAACGCACACGGATGTGGCCCCAAATGTATTTGCAAGTTGCAATCTGAATAGAAAAACAGTGAAACAACATCAGTGCGGAATTTGGTCGGAATGGAAAGTTTATAAAATTCACTTCAGAGTGCACATATCAGGATAATACGGAAATGATGATGGAGTAACAGCCACAGTAAACTCGATTCGAAAAAAGCAAAGGTACTTCGTAATATATTTGAACATTAGTTTTGTATTCTGTGGAAAGTTTGCTAAACCACCATTTCGAGACTACGGTTGTCTTTTTTTCGTGTTGTCATGCAAATAGCTTTGATACAGTACTGAAAAAAATGCTAAAAACATTCACGAACATCAACATCAACTAAGCGTTTTTATTCTGCATCCGCTTGACAGACAGAAATGTGTTTCCAGATATAAATATAAAAGTAAATAGGAATAACTCGAGTTAACAAAAATAGAATTTGTGCTTTATTTATTAATAGTTTTTTTAGGATAATTTTGTATTTCATAATATTGCGTTTGAATCTGGTGATTAGTCATTAATTGTCAATTTAAAATGATTGCGTGCTATATCAGATGTAGAAAATGAAAATAAAGATATAAAGATATTGATGTGTGTAATTTTGAATACAATTTTATGTTTTATTGCCTAATAGAACAATTATTCTGTTTTTGGCAAAGGTAATACAGTAATACATTTAACTAGCGCATAAAATGCTGTATATTCCTGTTTAGTAAATGATAAATTTACTACGATATCTAAAATAATTTTTTAGAGTTTATATTGTGGAAAAAATCTTCCATAAATAGGCATATCCCGCGTGTTAAAACAAGCGTGCATTAAAAGTAATGTATATGCCCATCTAATACGAAGATCGTCATCGCTCAGACGTCGCCCTCACGCGTATCGCAATCCTTCAAAACTCATCCGAGGAAAATACAACAAAGGTGCACGCCTGATACTTGCGGTACCGCCAGTGCTGCCACAGCCGCCACCGCTATCGGATAGTGGTGCGGCCCCCACAACACATGCGGAGGGAAGTGTGTAATGTAGGCCATTTGTCCTGCTGCTG